TGACCAAATCATAAACATATCGTCAATAAATCTCTTATATAGCAATACCTGTTCATGCTGGTGGTGGAAGACAAGCCTGTCCTCCCACTCAGCCATAAACAGGTTGGCTATACTGGGTGCAAAGTGAGCTCCCATCGCTACACCCCTTATCTGAGAGAACAATTCACTGTTGTACCAAAAATAATTATGGGACAGACAGAATTCTAAAGAATCTCTTAAAAAATTCTTTTGGTTGTGTAAATATCGTCCCTCTTGCTCAGGGCCCAATTAAGTGCCAGCAAAGCATCATCATGCTGTATGATGGTGTATAAGGATGATACATCTGCCGTAACTAGATATAACCTGGAATGATTGATAATAGGAGTCTCCGTAAGAATTTTAACAAATGCATGGTATCACGTAAGTACGCTTTAGTGGATGATACACTAGATTGTAAAAAAACATCTAGGTATTGGCCCAGTCTAGCAGAAACTGAACCAATACCATTTACAATAGGTCGGGCCGGAGGATTGATCTTATCTTTGTGAATTTTAGGGAGAGTATAGATAACTGGAATTCTGCTAACACTAGGTATTAAATAATGTTTCTCTCTTTTTACTCAACACTCTCGTCCTATAACCCCAATTCACCAAAGCTTTCAATTCATCCCTATATTTGCTCGTGGGATCTTTCTTTAATCTCACATAGGTGCTGGTATCAGCCAACATCTGAGATTTGATTATGATAGAAAGATTTCTTCATCACTACAACTCCTCCGCCCTTATCAGCAGGGCGTATAATAATTTATTTTTGTTCTTCCAAAGATTTGATACCTTCCTGAACATGTCTTGGATTCACATTCCTCCTAGGTATAACTGTTTCCAAATCCCTCAAAACCAAACTTTTGAACACATCCAAATGCTGATTGGATGGCACATTGGGATTGAAAAGGGATTTGTTCCTGAAACCAGTATTCAGACCTTCAACTCTCTGGTCATAATTAAATTTGATATTGGAATTTGACCCTAAGAAATATTTTTTCATATTTAATTTTCTAATATACTTATGCATATCAATATAGACATCAAATTTATTAATAAGTCATTTAATGGCACATTTCAATCCTGTATTCAAGATATTAATTTCTTAATGAGAAAGTTGAACCCCACTCAAATTATAGATCCCATTTAATCTACTTCCCTTCTTCTTATACGCTCCACGTATTGTTTGCCACTCCCTCAGATGAAGTCATATGACAAAACGGCATTAGAGTGTGGTTTGTCAGTGACGTCACCACGCACGCCAACCCACGTGTCGGGATCACGTGACTGCAACAACGCCATCTTGATTGCAGGCAGGCGAGATGCTGCTGAGAGGGCTGGAAGCTCTTGTGTTGCACTTTTATACAAATGCTGGATATTTTTGTACTCAATGTGAGTGTATTTTATGGGGGGATTATTTTAATAAATTTTGTTATACGTTATTGCACTATGGCGAGTATCTTTTATATCTGCATGTACTATATGGAGCTGTCTGGATATTTCTAAGCTGGAGCTGAACTGTGGAGTGCTGGGCTAATAGTGATACGCTGGTCTATCACCAGCTTTGAGCTGTTTGGATATCCATAAGGTGGAGCTGAGCAGAGGAGGGCTGGTTTACATTGATATGCTGGTTTATCACCAGCTTTTGGTGAGTGTTCAATTTGATGGGGTGTTAACACACTGAATTTTCTCTGGTGAAGGAAGACTTCATAGCTTCATTTGTTGAGGCTCATAAGCAATTTTTTGCGCATGGACTTTATTGAATGGACTCTATGAGGACCCTTAATTTGATATACAGTCAGGTCCATAAATATTGGGACATCGACACAATGCTAAAATTTTTGGCTCTATACACCACCACAATGGATTTGAAATGAAACGAACAAGATGTGCTTTACTGCAGACTGTCAGCTTTAATTTGAGGGTATTTACATGCAAATCAGGTGAACGGTGTGGGGATTACAAACAGTTTGCATATGTGCCTCCCACTTGTTAAAGGACCAAAAGTAATGGGACAATTGGCTTCTCAGCTGTTCCATGGCCAGGTGTGTGTTATTCCCTCATTATCCCAATTACAATGAGCAGATAAAAGGTCCAGATTTCATTTCAAGTGTGCTATTTGCATTTGGAATCTGTTGCTGTCAACTCTCAAGATGAGATCCAAAGAGCTGTCACCATCAGTGAAGGAAGCCATCATTAGGCTGAAAAAACAAAACAAACCCATCAGAGAGATAGCAAAAACATTAGGCGTGGCCAAAACAACTGTTTGGAACATTCTTAAAAAGAACGAACGCACCGGTGAGCTCAGCAACACCAAAAGACCCGGAAGACCACGGAAAACAACTGTGGTGGATGACCGAAGAATTCTTTCCCTGGTGAAGAAAACACCCTTCACAACAGTTGGCCAGATCAAGAACACTCTCCAGGAGGTAGGTGTATGTGTGTCAAAGTCAACAATCAAGAGAAGACTTCACCAGAGTGAATACAGAGGGTTCACCACAAGATGGAAACCATTGGTGAGCCTCAAAAACAGGAAGGCCAGCTTAGAGTTTGCCAAACGACATCTAAAAAAGTCTTCACAGTTCTGGAACAACATCCTATGGACAGATGAGACCAGATCAACTTGTACCAGAGTGATGGGAAGAGAAGAGTATGGAGAAGGAAAGGAACTGCTCATGATCCTAAGCATACCACCTCATCAGTGAAGCATGGTGGTGGTAGTGTCATGGTGTGGGCATGTATGGCTGCCAATGGAACTGGTTCTCTTGTATTTATTGATGATGTGACTGCTGACAGAAGCAGCAGGATGAATTCTGAAGTGTTTCGGGCAATATTATCTGCTCATATTCAGCCAAATGCTTCAGAACTCATTGGACTCCGCTTCACAGTGCAGATGGACAATGACCCAAAGCATACTGCAAAAGCAACCAAAGAGTTTTTTAAGGGAAAGAAGTGGAATGTTATGCAATGGCCAAGTCAATCACCTGACCTGAATCCGATTGAGCATGCATTTCACTTGCTGAAGACAAAACTGAAGGGAAAATGCCCCAAGAACAAGCAGGAACTGAAGAGAGTTGCAGTAGAGGCCTGGCAGAGCATCACCAGGGATGAAACCCAGCGTCTGGTTATATCTATGCGTTCCAGACTTCAGGCTGTAATTGACTGCAAAGGATTTGCAACCAAGTATTAAAAAGTGAAAGTTTGATTTATGATTATTATTCTGTCCCATTACTTTTGGTCCCTTAACAAGTGGGAGGCACATATGCAAAACTGATGTAATTCCTACACCGTTCACCTGATTTGCATGTAAATACCCTCAAATTAAAGCTGACAGTCTGCAGTTAAAGCACATCTTGTTCGTTTCATTTCAAATCCATTGTGGTGGTGTATAGAGCCAAAAATGTTAGAATTGTGTCGATGTCCCAGTATATATGGACCTGACTGTATGTCTTATCACATTCATGCACTTATTTGGTGGTGGATTTAATGATTTATGTATTTTTTTATTCTACTTAAGGGTAGTGCTATTATTTGTGCTTATTTTATATGTCATTTTGTATAATTATATCACAGTTTATATGAATTTTCCCATCAAGTTGTGTCCTAAGGACTGGCCAGCGAACCTGCTGAGAAATTAGGTTCAGGCAAGATGGTTGCTGCCACGTGGCTACAATAAATAGGCCGCCATGCATATCCTCAGCTGGTTCCTATGCATGACTATGGGAATAGTCCATCGCAAAATGGCTGCCCAACTTTTCTCAAAAACATGGCCAGAAGATCTCTGGGAAAATGGCTGATGCAGAATACATGTCGGCTGCCATGTGGCTTCCCAGATCTTAGGAGGGGGGGAAACCCACACAAAACCCTCAGTGGGACAGAGCAAGCCCCCTTTACACCCAGGAATACTCAGGGTAACCCAGGCTGCCAAGCTCCAGGCAGCCTGGAAGGGACAGGAGGGGGAGGAACAGAGGATAAGGTGTGCTATGACAGATTCTCCTTTCCACAGAAGTGGGGGTGCTGTTGGCCAGGGTGACAGCACAGACACAGACTCTAGCGCCCTGCTATATGTGTTCCTGTGAGGTGTTTAATTTGCTGACTACCCCGGTCCAGGATTGGGCTTTATCGTGGTTGACCCAGTGCTTAGCTAAAGGTCTGCACACTTTCTATAGCCAGATTGGGGTGACCACTGGATCTAGGTTATCCAGCATATCGCATAGCACCCTGTTGATATGAAGATCTCCGTAGGAAAAATCCCAGGAAAAAGAAAGAAAAAAAAAAAAAAAAAGCTATAGAACCACAGGTACCAGCAGGGAACCAGGCGCTTACTCCTAAACACGAAGTAAAAGAACTGGATTTCCTATAGCAGAGAGGGTTTTGTACTAGAGGGGACTGCCCATAGGTGGTACTGTGTTCTTCTTGGACAGTGTCTTACTCCTGTAGGTGGTGCTATAAAGATTCAGAAGAGCTGTGTCCGTCAATGAACGTAAAAGATATTTTATTTGCTCACCGTGCATGATGAGCGAGTGCTGCATGCATGCAAAAGTCACATACAACATTTTATTGTGTTAAGATACCTGGAGAGTTTGTTGTACTTCCTAGACAGCAGTACAATTAATCATATTTATGTTAAAAAGTGGAAGTAAACTGCCCAAAAAAAAAGTGGGCCCCTGCAGGATAATGTCATAATCTGTTGGCACATATTAGAACATTATGACAACTTACCTAAAAACGAAGCCCTCCAGTGGCATGCTCATACCGCTGGCAGGACTTCCATCTTCACTCGGTTTTCCTTCTGGCAGGCTGTCCACTGAGGGCACAGTGTGTATGCGCCACTGACATCACCAGCTGCTACTAAAGTAAATATCTCCTAAACATTTACTGTACCTACAGGCAAATCTACTTACCTGTAGGTAGAAATCAGAAAGCAGAGTTTACTACCGCTTTAATACTAAATAAAAGTAATACAGATTAGCCACTTACCTGCACGCCTTTAAGTACATGACTTAATGTGTCAATAAAGTTCTGTATTTCATCATTTTTGTTGGCAAGCGTTGTGATGATCCTCTGCAAAGCTTCCTAAGGACAGAGCAGATATGAATGAGGACAAGTGAGCGTTTTTGTTTAATAATTCCTATTCTATTGTAGGCACAAAACAAAGTCAGTGAGAGATACAACACAGCTGGAGATTTTTGAGATAGCGTGAAATCACAGCTTACAGAACAAATCTCATTATTCCTCCATATAAGTAATAATCCCTCTGAGAGCACAATTTAATCTATGGGCAGTGCTAGTGCAGGACATCAGGTCAGAGTAGGACTTGCCTAATGAACAGTTGCCTAATTAAAAGCATTTAAGAACATTAACTTAGGGTTTTAGGCTTTGTTTATGTGGTCAAATGCTCACAGATATGTTAAACCAAGGTATATGCATGTTAATATGTGGAGTGCCCATATTGAACTACCTCCTAACTTCTTATGTAATAAAATGTTATTGGCAGCACAGGAGCTAAGGGTAAATCTACCGAACAGAGCACCTGATAGCCGTAAAAACTTGCCAGGGGCTCTAACCCTTTCCCATGCAAAGGATGAAAATGGTTTTCTGGACATAAACTTTAATAATAAAAGAGCAAGATCATTTTTACATTATGCCTCCTCTCTTAAAACAAACATTTTCACTAGGTATATGTTTGCTTTTGAAAGATATAACAGTGGTCACAGTGATTACACACAATCTTCCATAAACTCTGCAGAAATAAAGAAGAAGCAATATCTGAAATACAAAAGGTAATTGCCATAGCCAACAATAACACTGGTTTTCAATAACATGAAATAAGTGCCTGGAATAAAGAAACAGACGTTGCTGCCAGTAACTGGTCTGTTCTACCCCCCACACTGGTAGATGCACTTTCATATATGAAGTTCTCTAAGCATCGTGTTGAAAAAAAAAACTGACAAACGGGAATGTGACAGGGCTGCCTACAGCAATCAGAGTGTAGGGTTTTGTTCTGCTCTAGAAAATGACAGCTGGGATTTGACTGGCTACTATAAGCAACAAAGACCACTTTCTTTGTTCTAATTTTTCTGTGTTAGCACCACTGTCATCATAAAAAGGAGAACTCAACTTCTAGAAGGCTTACCATAGATGTATAGACATCTCAGAGGAACGTATGAAAGAGGAAGCATATGTTCATCAACAATGCCGACCAATGTCGCCTCTTGACAATTCATTTGTCTCCACAGTCCTATGTTCTAATACGATTGGATCTGGAACCCATACCAAGTAACAAATATCCTCCACAACGAATACTGTTATTACAAATAGATAAAAGTATATGTAAAAAGGCTTCTATACGATTGGATGCTTGCTGAGAACGAATGGAACCCATAGCCATGTACAAATATCCTCCAATGTCAACAGATACTTTTACCTTACAAATAGATAAAAGTATATGTAAAGGCAACATTTTTTTTAGTTTTGGACAGGGTTAGAACCTGTGTCATGTTTTCATCACTGTCTCTCTATTTTTAGATATCGCTACTTTAACTGGTCATCGGACTAATACCTTTTGTAAATTATCAACTTCTAGGGAATTTGTGTTCTAGTAATCCACACTGCCAGCAGTCCCTGTGGTCTAGTTCTATTCATGGTGGCTTCCAGCCGTCCAGTGAAGTGCAGCTCATGCAGAGAAATTAATTGGGCCACGGCATATATGTGCAGTTGAAACAGGAGCCAGCCAGGATGTTTCCTAGGAGTGAAGATCACAGATATGGGAAGGAAGGTAGGTATTTTACTAGATGGGCTCACTCAGGGGGATGGATGGTTAAAAAAAGGATAAGGTGAAATTGCACAAGCACACTATTTTATGCAGGCCATAGACGGGACGTTTATCGACCGAATTGTCGTCGGTCGAACGAAAAATAGGCTGATATTCACACCGTTAGTGGGGCAATGTCGTCGGCCGATTTTCGCAGAGCTTGTTTTTCTTTTTATCGGTCATGCTGGAAAATCTACGAAAAAGGCCGTTTTTTGTAAGCATTGGTGGCAGCAACAACCGATTTTTCGTTTATTGGCCAACAATAAACGTCCCATCTATGGCCTGCCTTAGTCTAGTGGCAGTTTATAAGCTTCAGCATTTAGGAGCAGAAAAAAAAACTCTTTGCATATTTGGGAGAAATTTGCTAGCAGAGAAAATCTGCTAAAGGCTGCTAACCACTGCTAAGAGCAAGTTTCCAGCGTTTTTTCTTAGCGTGTGGCTGCCGGAATCCTTAACAAGCAGCGAATAGCCGTCCCCCTTTTCCTGGCCTGCCAGGTTGCATGCTAGGATAAGGGTCAGGTATGGATTTTGGGGAGGACCCCAAGCCATTTTTTTTTACATTTTGGACCCAAAGGGCTGATATGGATTTTGAGGGGAACCCCATGCCAACATGAAAAAAAAAAAAAAAAAAAAAAAAAAAAAAAAAAGAAAGAAGGTGTAGTGGTTCCCCCCCAAATCCATACCAGACCCTTAGGTTTTAGTTGCCAACAATTCTTTTGTTTAGATTCAGCTGATGAGTTATCGATTAAGGACACAGCTTGATGGTCTGCTCCCTCCCCCCGCTAAACACTTGCAAAGCACAACAAAAATGGAGAAACACCAGAAAAAGGCTAATATTGAGCAGTTTTTATGTTGTTTATTTCAGCAACTGGTATACATGGAGCCTCAGAGTTTAAAGAGAACAACACTGGGAGCAATAAGTTGCGCTGCAAAACATACAGGGGGAGATTTACTAAAGCTGAATCTCAGAATGTGGTGCAGCTGTGCATGGTAGTCAATCAGCTTATAACCTCAGCTTGTTCAATTAAGCTTTAGCAATAAAACCTGGAAGCTGATTGGCTTCTATGCAGACGTGTACAAGAGTCTGAGGGAAGCAGCTTTAGTAAATAAACCTCATAGTATGAGTGTGCATTGAACATTCTTGTAGGAAAAAAGAGTAAAGTGAAAAGAAAGATAACTCATCACTGTGCTGCTGTCACTCATTCACTGTCCATCCACAGACTGGGTCAGAACAGAGGGAATGTGTTCACAAGGGAAAAAAGGTATTTCTAATGTTTTATATATCTATACACAAATGTGTTACCTTTCATTTTTGTTTTAAATTGAATGGGTTGTTTTACAAGGTGAGGGTTTACAATCATTTTAACATTCCTGCCACATTAAACATTCATAGAAACAATGTTTTCAAATTCACAACTAATTTCAGATATTGATTGGTTATTTGCTCAACTTGATAATTAACTGAAAAACCTGTAGGCCAGTCTACCCAAAGCAGATGTCAACAGAGGGATCAGGGTCAAAAATCACACTGCAGCCAGTACCAGTATAAAACAAATCGCTGAAGAAGGATATCGCAGCAATGCAGACAACCGCTTAAAGTGTTACTAAACCCACAACAGTAAAATCAGTCTGTATATGCAGTAAAGCATGCTTGATATACTCCCTGTGGAGCCTAAGGGGTTAATCCTCAGTACTGTGTGAAAAGGCTGATTGATCCTGACTGCTCTGATCCTCCCCTTCTTCCAGTGTCCCCCTCTTATCTTCTGATAAAACATATCATGTGGAGACACTCTGCACATGCTCAGTTTGGTGTGTATTGCTAGAGGTTTTTTTTTTTTTTTGCTTGGGAGAGTGCATGTGATCAGCACTGTCCAGACAGAGGTCAGGGTTCCTGCATCCTCCTAGAGCACAAAGAAAACTCCTCCTACAAGCTTTAACCAGTGCTCTGCTGAACACTGATAGAAGTCACAAGACTGCTCTAACTGGTAATGAGAAATGGCTATTAAGCACTGTATATTTACTAAAATAATTGTACTTCCATGTTCTGTGTACTGTGGGAGAGCAAACATAGTGAATGCAGGGTCATGGGTTTATTAACACTTTATTATACATAAAGAAAGGTGCTCTCAAACTCCTCCAAATTAAGTACAGGACAATAGCATAGATATTCCAAAATGCTTTATTTTTAAAGAAAAAAAACTGCTGTCAATATACAAATGATCAAACACTGTACAGTAACACAACGTCCCTTCCCTGAAGGTGATTTAATTTGGTGATAAGAACAGATTGCCACTGAATGGACTGCATGTAATAGACGGTTTATTGTTTAGAATCCATTAGCCAATAGGCTTAATTTACTAATTTTATAACACCTTTTTTTCATAACAATCATTATTTCCAGCTATCATTGGCTGTCAATGCTGAGAATATTGGCTGTAGTGGCACATGATGAGGGTTATTGCTTAACAAATTAAGTTTATTGTTTGAAATAAAGCTTTATCTCCTACTGCATGTTTGGAATTCTATTGTTTTTAACCAACAGTGGAATACCCTGCTTCCCCACGGTGTGCTGTAGTTCCTCTCACTGACACGTACATTCTGTATTGACATTGGAGCAGGCAGGAAGAACCACAGCACAAGACAAAGTAGCAGGCATTCAGCACAAGATGTGTCAGAAACCTACAGCAGCTGTGGATCAGAAACAATGGATTTTTAACAAACAGGCCACCAGAAAAGTAAGAGTACAGAATCTTGTTTTACAGGCTGCCAGTACTTTAGTTTAGACCCCATAGGATCACTTTGAAGTGGAACTAAACCCACTGATTTGACTGTTTCCAAAAACAGTCTCATTCATGGAATGCCACTGGTAATAACTTTCACAGTTGCCAGTGTGCTTGTGCCAACTCTTAACTGAACTTTTAAGCTCTCAAATAGCTGGTGATCATATGTGCAGAGACATATCAACCATAATCTATGAGAGGTTCAACTGTAATCTATAGGGGGTTAAAGGGGAACTAAAGTCTCCATACTTACCTGTCCAACAGTCTTGCGTCAGCATCTTCTTCTGAGTGCCGGTCTTCCTGCTTCTTCATTGGCCGTCAGGGAATGAAGTCACTACTGCACATGCACAGGAGGCCAACATCACAGCACTTGGAGACTGGCCCTGCACTATAAGCTGAACTGCGCATACACAGCTTAGTTTACAGTGCCAGAGGAGATGGAAGGTAGGGGCATTTTATTAAAGATGACACAGTGCTTGTCT